TAAAAAGGTCAAACATGAGCCTCAATAAACGAAATGCTATTCTTGTACATACGTGTTCATTATTCCGTGAAATAAACCTCATCGTATACCATCAGTGTTCTAATGTTGGACCAGTTTATAAGCTCTTCGGTATATCATCCTTGGAACGATCAGACGAAGAGGGTTCCGAATTTACTCGTAAATGTTTATGACAGGTTTGCGTGCGTCCTCTGAAGCGGTGTTTTTCATTAGTAGTCTCAGTGGGCTTCGTAGGCGATTGCATCTACTTTTAAGAATATGGTGCCAAGTGGTGCAGTCCCCTTTTCTCGGAGAAGTCTAAATAACTGGCCAATTTATCAGAAATCAGCCCGATCCAAGATAAGACGAACAAACGCACTCTTGCAAACTGCGCTATGTAAACGAATAGACAAACAGTACAGGGAAGCCGCAGAAACTTACTTTGGCAAGGATTCAGCTTGGTGCGTGCATATGATGGTGCAATATATATATATATATATAATCACATCTGAGTCCAAACTGCCAAAGGAATCGCGGTGTAATAGACTTTATAAACCGAATACGTCCATGATTTACTAATGGTCGCGGTACTTCTAGGTTACCCATTTCAACACTGGCAATGCTTGCGCGCTTCATCACACATGACAGCTAGTCGTTCACACAGATGGGATGCTCACATACGCGTAGTAGCCTTCCGGGTTGCACAAAGTGATGCAACCTGTAGACTTGTGTGTATACCTGAATCGAGGGTGAACGGTGATGTGATTTGGCCTGATTAAACTGTAGGTGGCAACGCATGTCGAATCATTGCGGTGTGTATCTTACAGGAGTCTTCGGAGAGTGGGTAAGTTGCTTTTTCCGTGTGATATGCGCGGTGAAAGTTGGCCTGTCTACCCTGTGTTTTGATGGAAACGAGTTCCTGCTAGCGAATGTACTTATTTGTTGTTAGTTGTGCTGTTTCTCTGGCCCAGAACTTTACAGTCGACCTGGTCCCGTCTAGAATTGCTTCAACAGTGAGTACTGAACTTGACAGTTATCGTGATAAGTAATCCAGTGCCTGCGTTTTGTTTGGATTCCGGATTGATTTCTACCTCTCCGGTCAACCGAACCTTGACAAAGATGATTATTTCTTAAGATAGGTTTGACCCAATTGCTGAACCGTGCATTTGACATTTCGCGGCCGGTTGAACTCCGTTGTGCAGTAAATGGCAATTGGTGCACCGGCTTGAGCGTAGATGCATTCCCATGACAAGCTCACATTTGGTTATGGTTTGAAGAAATATTAGGTTTCAACACAGCATTATATATCGTAGTGACAAGTCTGGTGGCCCAGCGCACGATTGTCATGTTTCAGGAATCATCATCATCGTACAGCGAAATCCAGTGAAGCGAACTTCACTGATCGCTGCCAGACTCGCAATGCATACATCGGAGCATCAGTTGCAGATGGAGCTGCTTGGTTAGCACTAGGTTAGCTGAATTGTTCGCTGAAGTATTCTTCCCAGCAATCGACTCGTTGACCTCTATTGCGAATTGCTAGTCCCATCTTAGCACAGACTGTTTCACTAACTGCAGTTCACCGACCTCCTGTATGGCGTATCATTCAGTGGGAATGGTGTTCGTTAATTGCCTCACGGAGTCTGAAATGAAGAGAAGAACCTATGGCAATGTTGATATTTCCGCTGGCCTACCGAGGGACCGGGTTGTTATTCGGATCCAAGTGAAGCTACATCAAGCAGTTTTATACTCCCAATCGCGTCGTGGAGTCTTGCTTTTGTGGAAACGTCCTTGAGGACACCCTGGACTGATACCTGAAGGAAGTTGGGCTGATCAGTAAGTACTGAGTTTAATCGCAATCTCTTACATTTCGGTGGGGTACTGATTTAGCGATAGAAACATGCGCCAAATACCGTCAGGATTCGGGTGGTAGCTTTATCTCATCCGGCCTTTTGTTCGTAGAATCATTGATTCTGTTCTTACATACTCCGATTGCGTTTACTTTAATTCGACTAAGGATCTCCGGAATGGATGTCTTTAAATCTCGCAATCAGACAAACACCGCACTGTGGGTAAGTCAGTTATGTAATGCGTTACTTAATTGGAAAAGCAATCCCGACTGAAAACATCACAACTAGATCTCGAGAGTAGACCTCTTTAACTTACTTAGATACCACCCTCTACTTGGTGACCGGAAATTTTTCTCCACATTACGGTTTACGCACAAGACTGTACCGACAGCGATGACGATCTTACGATCACACCTAAGCAGATTCGATTGAGTGTATTTTAAGACATTTTATTACGTGGTAAACGTCTATTACGGTTAATGTACAAAGCTGTTCTGTTTTTGTAAAGTCTGGGAGTTAGTTGTGCATTACTCAAACCGTTTAATTCTGTTCTAAAATGTATTCCTGAGTGACCCCAACCGATGATGGATACCCATCAGCCTTGGTTTTGGAGTTAACGAAACTCCTGGCCTCAACATTGGAGAGGGAGCAGGCCTGGGAAAACCACATGGTGATTAGTCTTTAAACTTCTTGCTGGCGTTATGCTAGGTCGACTGTCTGCCGCACGTGAACGGTGCACGCGTGAGAACCAGGCTGGTTTTAGACCTACTCTAGGTTCAAGAAGACCTAGTCCTTTCGTAGACCCACCATTTCTATCTTCCTCGATCTGAAAGCGGCCTTCGACTCACTCGGCCGCTCTATACTTTGACACTGCCTCGCTTTAAAGGTTGTGCCCGAGAATTTTATTTCAACAGTACAGTCCCTTTATACTAATAGCCGAAGCCGAGTCCGAGTTTACGGTACTTTTTCTCCCGAGTTTTGGACAAAGTGGTGTTCGATGGGGTTGCCCTGTCTCCGTTTCTATTTGACTTCGTGATAGATTTGATTATTGGAGCAGCCCTATCCTTCTGCGAGGATATTGGTATCGATTTACTCCCAGTTGGTACACTGATCTGGAGTATACAGACGTCATTGTGCTGCTAAGTGAAGATCACGGTAAGTTGCAAGCTTTTCTGGAAAGTTTGAGTGCTCATGTAGCCATGTGCGGTATGCGTATTGCACCTTCAAATTGTAAAATGTTGCTACAAGATTGGGTTGGTCCAGCTTCCAACGTCACCCTGACTGGGGAAGTAGTAGTCGAGGGAGGCAAAGTTTGCTACTTCGTCGGCTATAACTCACCTGGCGGACGCATCACGGATGAAGTGTCGGCGCGCATACAAAGGACTCGGTTGAGGCATCTTTGGCGCCATCGCGACATCCGGCTGTCTTCGAACGTTAGAGTATGTGCTGCAGTAATTCCACCAGTTCTGCTCTACGGTGCATAGACTTGGCCCCCAGGGAAACAGGGCAAAGATTTAGTTTCCGAGTTCGAGCACCGCTGTCTATGTCGCATTGCATGAGTATGGTGGGGTGACCGGACTAGCAATGCTGAGGTCATGCATGGAGTTTTAGGTAATCCCCGTTGTGCATAGACTACGCTGGCTGGGGCATGTGTTACGCATGTCACCATATAGGTTGCCATGGCGAGTGATCAATGTCGAGGCAGTTAGTGGATGGAAAAAGGTCAAGAGCTGTCAAACGAAGACCTGGTATGAGGGTATGAAAATCCTAGCTAGGAGACTGTTACAGGTCTCCTTATGCCGGGGACCCCGACATCATGGTCACCCATGGTTAGACACACTGAGCGATATGGCTTGGTATCGCAAACAGTGACGCTCATTCATTACGCTTGCAACATCATCTATCATCTTTCTTTCGCTTGAACTTGCTTTCAACATTCCAATCTTCATTTTGGTCTTTTATCCAAACGGGCGACCAGAAAACCACAATTGAAACCGGCGCACGGAAGTGCCTGGTGAATGACTAAAAAATGAAAGTGAATGATTTTTTAACTTATGATGCACATGTTTAACTAAACTCAGCCCTTTTATGTTATTAGCAGATGCACGTTGCCAGTGGTTTGCACTTTTTAGTGATTTCCTCAGGATGGGCGACTGCTGTCGTACAGTTGCGCCATGTACTTTTCAGCTGTCGTATGCCGTTTAATTTTTCTCCTTCACTTAGCTGCCACCGATGTTGTTGAGGGACGGATATCTAAAAAGTTGAAGAAACTGCTAAAGAAACTGTACGTTCAGGAACTACGAGATGACGTCCTCGCCATTGCTGACAAAAAGCTCTGCATGGATATTACTGTAAGTCCGGTTCTCCCAGCAATAATTGTCCAGTCTAAAATGAACATACCGACTTCTTCCGATAGCATGGTACAAAACTTGATGCGTGCAATACGGTGCCATTTGGATTCGCTACTTCCGGTTGTTGAAGAAGACCATTTGACGCGTATGCGGTTAGGTTTGGCCCATAGTTTGGATCGGTATAAGCTGAAATGTAATCCGGATAAAATTGATACAATGATTGTACAGGCTGTAGGTGAGTTTTCTGTCCCTTTACACTACATTTGTAGGTTTGTTGGAAGAGCTTGATAAGGAAATCAACAATTACATAATGAGGGTTAAAGAGATGTATGGATGGCACTTTCCGGAACTGTCTAAAATTGTTCAGGACAACATCGTTTACATAAAAGTCGTAAAACGTATTGGTGAGTTCATGGCTTCTTGGTTGTATTTGTTCAGGTCACCGAGAAAATTCCAGCATAGATCTCTCGGATTTGGTGCCAGACGATATCGCTGCCCAAATCCGAGAAGCATCCATTGTATCCTTGGGCACTGAGGTAGTGGACGATGACATTGAAATGATAAACGAACTTTGTGATCAAGTCCTTGAAGTGACAGAGTCAAGAGTGAATTTGCAGGATTATTTAATGAAACGGATGATTGCTGTAGCACCCAATCTGACATCACTTGTTGGGGAGTTACTGGGCGCACGCCTCATCGCTCGTGCGGGCACCCTAGTCAATCTGGCTAAACACCCTTCTTCAACTGTGCAGATTCTTGGTGCAGAGAAGGCACTCTTCCGTGCGCTGAAAAGTAATCAAAACACTCCAAAATATGGACTACTCTATCACGCTGCACTCATTAATCAAGCTGATCCAAAGCTGAAGGGTAAAATGTCGCGTATGCTTGCTGCCAAAGCCTCCCTCTCTGCTCGACTGGATGCTCTCGGTGAAGAAGGTGCAGATACCGAAATGGGCCTAAGAGCGAGAGCCTACCTCGAAAATCGTCTTCGACAGTTGGAGTCCAATACAGTATGTTCTTTTGTTTTTATTTACTCTTCTTAGTTCAATCCTAGATTGTCTGGATTGAAACGCAGGATTTCCAGTCACGTTGATTCAGAGGAAGTAAAGCCTAAAAAGGTCAAACATGAGCCTCAATAAACGAAATGCTATTCTTGTACATACGTGTTCATTATTCCGTGAAATAAACCTCATCGTATACCATCAGTGTTCTAATGTTGGACCAGTTTATAAGCTCTTCGGTATATCATCCTTGGAACGATCAGACGAAGAGGGTTCCGAATTTACTCGTAAATGTTTATGACAGGTTTGCGTGCGTCCTCTGAAGCGGTGTTTTTCATTAGTAGTCTCAGTGGGCTTCGTAGGCGATTGCATCTACTTTTAAGAATATGGTGCCAAGTGGTGCAGTCCCCTTTTCTCGGAGAAGTCTAAATAACTGGCCAATTTATCAGAAATCAGCCCGATCCAAGATAAGACGAACAAACGCACTCTTGCAAACTGCGCTATGTAAACGAATAGACAAACAGTACAGGGAAGCCGCAGAAACTTACTTTGGCAAGGATTCAGCTTGGTGCGTGCATATGATGGTGCAATATATATATATATATATAATCACATCTGAGTCCAAACTGCCAAAGGAATCGCGGTGTAA